CTTTATCACCGCATATCCAGACATTACATGTTGCTGAGTGTGTTTCACTTCCCCGCTATTCTATAAATAAATAAATACGGTAAATACAATCAGATCTAGACATCTAATCTATTCCTATACTATGAAGCATTCCTTAGTTTTCAAAAACATAAACCCCTTAAGAGATGAAAAGTGGGTTTTGCAATAAAAGGTAAAGGTAATGGTACCCCTGCCCGTACGGGCCAGTCTTGCCAGACTCTGGGGTTGTGCGCCCATCTCACTCAAGAGGCCGGGGGCCAGCGCTGTCCGGAGACACTTCCGGGTCACGTGGCCAGCGTGACTAAGCTGCTCTGGCAAGCCAGAGCCGCACACGGAATGCCGTTTACCTTCCCACTAGTAAGCGGTCCCTATTTATCTACTTGCACCCGGGGGTGCTTTTGAACTGCTAGGTTGGCAGGCGCTGGGACCGAGCAACGGGAGCGCACCCCGCCGCGGGGATTCGAACCGCCGACCTTTCAATCGGCAAGCCCTAGGCGCTGAGGCTTTTACCCACAGCGCCACCTGTTCCCTTTAACAACCTCCTGCCTTTTTTCCACCATGGAATCCAAGGTGGCATATATGTGGCTCTTAGTTAGGACTTTGAAATCTTTACTGCAGGTTTTCCTGTTCATTAAAAAAATAACAATGCCAGAAGTGGCCTAAGAGCCAGGCTTCCTATAGATACATGTGGTTGTCACTGTGCACAATGACTCGCCAAGGGCTGTGGCAATAAAACCCCTGTTCCACACATCCTCCACAATCTGGAATATGGGGGTGGGGGCGCTAGGAGGAGAAGTAGTGGCAGGCAGCAAGTGGAAATATCATCACTTCTTTCAAAAAGCTATGCACTTTGCTACCCAACCACTTTTAATGATGTGTCATTGGTTTTATTGACTGCCCGTAAGGCACTCTGGGAGGCTTGCTGCATAATGAGCAGGGTAATTAATACATAAATAACATACATTATGGCAACAATGATTTCTTGAGTTATTCCTCACTATGGCAGTGCAAAGCCATGTTGGTGCTCTGACCCTACTGTGGCCCCCATTCCAAGATATCTTTGGGTTGCATTCTGAACAGGTAGCACTTAACAAGTTCTGCAGCAACCATTTATATAGTTCAGGATGCAAAAGCCAGTTAAAATAGCTTCCATGGAGCAACTGTGCTTTAGGATGCAAAACATGTTTTCTGTACCTTTACATTTCCCTACAGTGTATTACTATTAAAAGAGAAAATGGTTTGTGTTCAAAATATCAACCTAAATAGAAATTTAATCATTACCACTGTAACTTCAGTGTAAACAATGTCCCTTTCTGATGTGCAGTTTCAAAATGACAACCTATAGCAGCCCTTTGTACAAAAGTCTGCAGGAGAACATTTTGAAACAGCCTGAGCTTTTTAAATTATGAGAAAGGAGGGGAATGTTGGCACCATTTCAGTCAGTTTATAGAAAAAGCCAATTCATAAAAGCTGCAATTTGTTTGACCCCATGGTTATAGCAATAATATTTTATGCACATTACGGGAGTCCAGTGGCAGAACCTTGGCCAGCCACCAGATTTTATGCCTTCTAGACATATCAACAGGCTTGTAAACTGCTGTTCCTGATGGATGTCACAGAAGAAGTGAAATGCAGTGCAGGTACTCTGCAGAAGCAAGAAAAAGAGAGAGAGAAGACTGTGCAGGAGCTCAAAGATGATAAAAGCAGACACCCCCCCCTTCTCACTTAAAAAAATCTTACAAAAGAGCATGCCACACAAAATCAGAACAAAAGGGAAAAGTGCAAGTTTCAGTTTTCCACTGAGTTTTCCATTCTTAGCGGAGAATTTAAAAAGAGGAAAAGAAAAAATAACTGACCTTTTCTCTCTCTTTATCAAGGGGACTACAATACCTACCTGACATCAAACTAGTGACAAGCATGCAACCGAAAAACACCAGCCTAAAACGTTTTCAAGCAAAGATTTACATAGTAATTGTCTCAGTGTGTCAAAGTATTCAATTTACAGCGGCTAGCTTCAGTCATACTGCATTCCTATTCCAATCTAGACTTGTCAGCTGAACTTGATAAAGCAGTGATAACCAGTAATTTCCACAACCGTTTGACAGGTCTGTAAAATTAGCTTGGAGGTGGGGAGAGGAGGGAAAGGAAAATAATTTCCAGTGACGATGGTGGCTCAAAACTTCAGAGTTTTCAGCAGGGATAAACATTACTGAATACATCTGAATCAGGCAGGAGGTTGAAATGTGATTATAAAGCCTGAAAGTCACTGGTTGTGCCAGAGAAACTAGACTGAACTGGTTCTTCGATCAGTTTCAAATGCTATATACACTTACCTGGGAATAAATTTCATTAATCTCAGTGCAGTTTACTTCCAAGTAGGCATACACAGAACTGAAGTGAATTGGTTAGTGGATCATTGGTTAGTGCCAAGTTGCCAATTGTTTCTGTGGATTCTGTGTGTACTCTGCTAGGTCTCGCTAAGGTCCTGCAACTAGTCAGAAAGTTGTGAAACTCCAAATAGGTTTTACCAATAAGCTGAATGCGTGAAGGCAGGGAGTAAAACTCCGGGCATTTAATTGGCTCTTCTGCCCAGAGCCTATACATGTGCAAATTGTATGTGTGAATTGCAGAGGTTCTGTCCATGCAATCTACAACCCCGCAAAAAAGCTGGATGCCTGATCAGGCCAACAGTCTGCGTACACTGATTCTGTACCAAAGAGTCAAATAAAGCATGGCTATCAGGGCTATACTCTGACTGGTTGTATAAATAGGCCTGGAATGCTTGGAAATCTATAAACATGAATTGTGGGTTTTATTCCATGCAAATGTTGCCCACTGTATTCAGGACTTATATGAGCATTATAGTGCTCTTGGCAAGTTACAAAAGAACAGTGCAGTTCATGGTAGGAAAGCTGTTTACAAGGAAAGAACAAACACCATAGTGCTGATTTGCTCCCAATACGACAGTGTTGACAATGCCCTGCCTCTGGGGATACCCTAAGAAATGCCATGGCCCATGTGGCTAGCAGTGAGTGAAAAACAAATTAGTGGCAGATATATTGACAAACACAACAGGGGAAAGTGGCAGTTCAGCCTCATTTTGTCCCTAATGATTTTCTGCATTGTTTCCAGTGGCACTGTTTTGAACACCAATAGAAATCAGGATATCCTTTTGGAACAGAAGCTGTTGTGTGGTGCATATTTATCATGCCAACAATGCAACTTTAATGCTCTGTAATTATGTATTAAAATCCCATCTAACTGGAAAGATACTTGGCCGGGGGAATTGCTGAAGATAATTTCAGGTGACCTGTGGATGGTTTTCCCAGCCAAAAGTCAAAGACAAAATATTTGAAACCAATTAGATAAAACCGAGTTAGTTCTTAGCATTAATCATATGAAAATCAACCCTTGGTTATAGAGATTAATGTAGGGATTTCCAAGGGCATGTTTAGCCTTTCTCAAATTAACTTTTAATATGTTTCTTTTAAAAATGAAATTAGCATTGTGTCAACCCTCCCCGTCCCCCACAATAAATAGTATATAAATAAATAAATAAATATATGCTATATTAAGTGATCAACAGAGGACATAAGCTACTGGAAATGTTTCCTGTGCAAGACCCACTGAAGTGAATCGGAGTACCATAAGAAAATGACACTGTCCCTGTGCAACTTCCTTTCATTTCAATGTGACTTCTTCATGAAAACAGCCAAGTGAATTAGACTCACTGACATCTTCACCTGTTTTTCCAAATAAGCTGTTCCAGATAGATCCTAACTATTATAGTCAAGATTTTATTTTATCAGTGGTGCTCCCGTAACAAATGAAAATCTCACCCTCCCCCAATATTCTGTAAACACACAGCTTTTGTGAAAAGTAATCAGAAACCTCTCTGCACATTCTCCGCTTGGTGCCTAACATTATTACAGGCTTATGGCAAAACATGGTTCCTTGCAGGGGAATTTCAAAGCCATCAATGAAATGGCCCTAGCATTCCTTTCACAGGATGAGATTTTAAGAAGGGCCTGTCCTGAATATTGTAAAAGATAAGGGAAGGGAAGAGAAGGCTGAAGAACATGATGGTAAGCGATGGTTTAATGTTGTTATATTTTATTACCTACTGTTCATCCTAAGGTCCCAGGGCAGGTTACAACATTAAAACATACAATTAAAAGCAGGTTAAAATAATCTGCAATCATAGAAATAAGGTGTATACTAAAAATATACACCTCAAGTGTCAAAAGCCAGGGTAAAGAGGGGTATCTTCAGCATTTGCCAGAAACTGTATGATGAAGAAGCCAGACTTACCTCTGTAGGGAGTTTGTTCCACAGCATAGGAGCTGCCGCAGAGCCAATTGGACAGTCAAAATAATTGATATATACACACTTCCAAAGCCATTGGAGATGTGCCCACCTGTCTGATATTCAATATAATCTGTTCACAATCTTGACCAACGCTTTAACCTGAAAAGCCTCCCCATGTCACATGCCTCCAGTCTAGGCCAGTAACAGTGTTGCATCGTTAACTTCCTCATTAATGCAGCCTCTCTTACAAAATGCAAGAGTGTCACAAATTATGTTACATTAAGACAAATAGAACTGTAACTGGTATAAAAACCACTCCCAAAGTGGAACAATGTACCTGATTATTTCAGACCTTCTGTTTGTCACCTTTAGAGTAGTTTCTTGTATCTGGCATCCCCAGAGAAGCATTTAGCAATATTGCTTACGACTCTTTCCATGCCTCCTGCTACAAACACCTACCAGCAGAAAGCTCACATTTCCCTACAAACACCTACAGTGGAGCCCAATATCTTCTTTTGCTCCTCACTGCAAGCAGCTGGAAGTGATAGAGGATAATTAGCCACGGCAGCTTCACACCTTTTCTAATCTTCAGCTAAATCAGGAAGCTTCTGCAAAACAAGGTAAACTAAGTGAAGGCATGCCCTGCAACAATCAATCAGATTTAGTGTACCTACTTAGGATGTCGAATGTCTGGCAGGGATCGCTCCAAGGCTATGTTGTTGCTCACAAAAATATTGAAACCATTTTCCCGATATGCAGAATCATCATTGTCTTCTTCTGTGAGAGGGTAAGGCTTTCCCTGTTCACCTTTCCCTGAAATGGAACAAAAAAACCAAAATATAGTTACCATCATTGGTGCTTGAGTGTCCAGAATGCTGTGATGTTCTGTGATGGAAACTGTTTTAACAAGCAAACTGCAAATAATGCCTGAAGTATGAAATAGTGGCACTCCAATGCACATTACAGTATTCATGCAGTTCCTCTGTGCATTGAGATTTTCCTTCTGATCGAATAGACCAGAGGGACAGAAAACTATAAGTGATATAGACAAGAATGTCTATAGGCCCTTCTGCTTTAAGTGTACAATAGAACCTTCTGCATGTGGCTGTCTACCAATGTAGTTGATAGGTCAAAGCCAAACAACCAGCTCTATGGGCCTTTGAAAGAGAACTGATATTGTTAAGTTGTGGGTGAACATATCAGACGACACAGCGATTCTTCAAACAGCTCTTGTTTATTCACAGGCCAGGGCAGAACTGAACTGAAGGTTTCAGTCAGCCTGCTTATAGAGAGCTCCAGTAAAACATTACTGTAACAACTTTCTAAAACTATCCAATCACTGAACGTCACTTTCGATCCCTTATTTGCATAACTATCTACTGTATCCCCCTGCTGGCCCAGGGTGAGAACTTCAGTACATAACACCTATAAGCCCTAATCCGCCATAAGGTTTCATACAATGGGACATTGACCCTGATTGACCAAGGTTCTGTTTCCATTGGGGAAGGGTATCAATGAAACATCCTTCAAACTGATACCAATCATTCATCAGCCAAAGGGTGTGGCCAGTGTGGGCCAACCCTCTGAGGGATAGGACTAGCTGCGTGCATTCCCAGTTGACTAATCACCTATTCAATCCCTACCAAACACCCGAAAAGGGCTATTGATACAGATAAATGGCAAAATAATAGAATATTGACATTTGGAATAGTTTGATCTAGTCTCCATTCTGCAGTAGCTCTTTTAACATTTCACAGCAAGGCTAGGAGGTTCATCTTTTTAAATCTATCTTGCCTCAAATGGCTTCATATCCACAGAGTTGAAGGAAATATGTCAACCTGGTTAATTGAATGTAACAGGCATGGTGTGCAATTTTTTTTTTTTTATCAACCAGCATTTTCTTCATCCTAATTATCAGGCAGTTCTGGATAGTACAGAAGATCTTGACAACTGGAAGGGGCCTATACCACAGCAACATTTTGCCCAGAAGAAAGACATTTTGGGGGATCATTAGGGAGAGACAGTTTTTTTCCACTTGATTCCAGAAATTAAAAAAGATTAGTGAGAGAAGAAAAGGAGCATTATTCTCTTAAATAGGCACAGAACACAACAGCATAAAAATGGCACTCAATCAGTCAAAGCCAGGTATGTTAATTATTAAGATTCTCAATAATAGAGAATAGAATAAATTGGGTCAGAATACAACACTATAGAGCATTAAACATATATATTTTTTCACTCTACAGTAATTATCCTCACTTAAGCTCAAAGAGTAGAAAAGGAAACATTTGCATATGTGTTGTTGTTTTTTAAAAAAGAAGTCACCCTACTTTGTTTTGTAGGAATACCAAAATAAAAATAAAAAATCTTTTTACATTCTGAAATTATTCAGAGCATATTTCTTCCTACTTGTGAGGTGTGTGTGCAGGAGCCAGGCCCTGTGACCAATAGGACTCTGCAGGACTGAGGCCGTCCTAAGTTTGTTCTGAAGAGGCAAGGCGTGGCCTCACAGGTGAGGCTGATTGGTAACTCACAGCACCTGGTGCCAAGAGCTGGGAAGGGATATAAGCTCAGCATTTCCCTTCCGCTCTTTGCTACAGTAACACGTTCCCTGCCTTGCTGTGTTTGACTCCTTGCTTCTTGATCCTCGGACCCCTGACTTTGTGACTCCTTGCTTCTTGATCCTCGGACCCTTGACTTCGTGACTCCTTGCTACCTGACCCTCGGACCCTTGGCTTCTTGACTCCCGTCTCTCTGACCCTCAGACTCTTGGCTTTCTGACTCCTGGCTTCTGGACTCCTGTTCCTGCTCCCACCCCACCATCTTGCCCCCCATCCCGACGTCCCCAGCTGGGACTTTGATCACCCGTGAACCGGACTGTGACACTACTCATGTAAGCCTTCACAAAAAACAGCAACCACTGTTTGTGACAGCAATTGTTACTTGTTAACCAGGAACTAATGCATGTTTGCCAAGTCAGCTTCTCTCAGATCACATCTACACTAAGCCTTAAATGCACTCTTGCTCTACTTTATTTATTTATTTATTTATTTATTTATTTATTTATTAAGGGTAATCCTGGGAACTGTAGTTTGTTAGGGGTGCTGGGAACTGAAGCTTTGGAACATGCATCCTCAGCAAACTACAGTTCCCATGATTATTCATGACTACAAAAATGGTATAACCGTGCTATGAATATTTGGTGTGGAAGTAACTTGAGATTTGAGGCACATTTTAAAACTAATGAGATTGTGGAAATCATTCATGATATCCTAGCTAGCTGATACAGTGGTGCCCCGCAAGACGAACGCCTCGCAAGACAAAAAACCCGCAAGACGAAAGGTTTTTCCGTCGCGGAGGCGCTTCGCAAGACGAAGTTCCCTATGGGCTTGCTTCGCAAGACGAAAACGTCTCGCGACTTTGTTTCCTTTGTCTAAAAACCGTTAAAACAAAGGGTGCTTTGCTTGAACAGCTGCAGTTGCGACTTGACTTCGAGGAGCAACTGTTAGCACGCGGTTTGGTAGCCTTTTCTCAGACTTTGCTCACTTTTGAAGCTTTTCCAAAACTTTTCCAGAACTTCTCTTGCATCCATTTGGTAAGTTAAACTTTTAAAAACTTTTTGGGGTTTTTTGGATTTTGGGTTGGGGTGTTTGGGATTCAAGGACTTGGTGTTGGGGTTTTTTTTGAGAGAATCTGGGAGCTTGTGGGGTTTTTTTTGGAATTTTTATGATTTTCTGTGACCATTGTGCCAGGTTGTTTTTTTTCAAAAAAATTTCTGAGTTTGAATTTCTGAGTGCTGGCTGGCTGGGGGAACAGTTGGGGCGGTTTCTGCAGGAATCTGGGAGCTTGTGGGGGGGGGGTTTGGATTTTTTATGATTTTCTGTGACCATTGGGCCAGGTTGTTTTTTTTCAAAAAAAAATTCTGAGTTTGAATTTCTGAGTGCTGGCTGGCTGGGGGAACAGTTGGGGAGGTTTCTGCAGGAATCTGGGAGCTTGGGGTGTTTTTTTGGATTTTTTATGATTTTCTGTGACCATTGGGCCAGGTTGTTTTTTTTCAAAAAAAAATTTCTGAGTTTGAATTTCTGAGTGCTGGCTGGCTGGGGGAACAGTTGGGGAGGTTTCTGCAGGAATCTGGGAGCTTGTGGGGTTTTTTTTGGATTTTTTATGATTTTCTGTGACCATTGGGCCAGGTTGTTTTTTGTAAAAAAAAATTCTGAGTTTGAATTTCTGAGTGCTGGATGGCTGGGGGAACAGTTGGGGAGGTTTCTGCAGGAATTTGGGACCATTGGGCCATGTTGTTATTTTTTGAATTTTGTTTTGTCTGGGTGGGGGAACAGTTGGGGAGGGGTTTGCAGCAGTTGGGGAGGGGCTGGGGGAGCAGTTGGGGAGGGGTTTGCAATTTCTGTGTGGTGGGTGGGTGGGTGTCTGTGGGAACAGTTGAGGTTTTTGAAGACTTTGGTGATTTTTGAAGCTTTTCCAAAACTTATTTTGCAGCCATTTGAGGTTTCTGAAGACTTCGGTGATTGATTGTTGAAGCTTTTCCAGAACTTCTCTTGCATCCATTTGGTAAGTTAGACTTTTAAAACTTTTTGGGGGGTTTTTGAATTTTGGGTTGGGGTGTTTGGGATTCAAGGACTTGGTTCTGGGTTTTAATTTCTGTGTGGTGGGTGGCTGGGTGCTTTTGATTTTTTTTTTATTTGAAGCACATCACTGATTTTTTTTTCTTTTTCTGAGTTTACGAAGGTAGGAGCTGTGCTGCCATGGGACCCAAGAAGACTGCTGCTGCGGTGGCCGGCGAGAGGAAGAAGGAGAAGGTGACGCTGGAAATGAAGAAGGAGATCATCCGGAAGCACGACGGTGGAATGCGTGTGACGGACATCGCCAGGGAGTACGGGAGGAATCCACCAACCATCGGGACCATCCTGAAGATGAGGGAGAAGATCCTGGCGACTGATGCAGCCAAGGGAGTCACCAGGATCGTGAAGAACCGCCCAGCTGTTCTGGAGGAGGTCGAGAAGTTGCTGCTCATCTGGATAGAAGAGAAGCAGCGTGCAGGGGACACAGTGACTGAGGCCGTCATTTGTGAGAAGGCCAAGGCCTTGCACGCTGACCTCATCCGGGAACAGCCAGGAACCTCAGGCGAGCCAGAAGTCTTCAAGGCAAGCAGAGGTTGGTTTGACCGGTTCAAGACAAGATCTGGCATCCACAGCGTGGTCAGGCATGGAGAGGCTGCCAGTTCTGATGTTCCTGCGGCTGAAGACTTTGCAGCGGAGTTCCTGGAGGTTGTGAAGACGGAGGGCTACGTTCCACAGCAGGTCTTCAACTGCGACGAGACCGGCCTGTTTTGGAAGAGGATGCCCAAAAGGACTTTCATCACTCAGGAGGAGTCCAAGTTGCCTGGCCACAAGCCCATGAAGGACCGTCTGACCCTGCTCTTCTGTGCCAACGCAAGCGGCGACCTGAAGATCAAGCCCCTGCTGGTGTACCACTCGGAGAACCCACGGGCCTTCAAGAGACACAAGATCGACAAGGAGCGGCTGAGTGTCATGTGGCGATCCAACAGCAAGGCTTGGGTCACACGTGTGCTGTTTGTGGACTGGGTCAATCTTGCTTTTGGCCCTGCTGTCAAGCAGTACCTACTGGACAATGACCTGCCGCTGAAGGCTTTGCTTCTGATGGACAATGCTCCTGCCCATCCTAAAGGCCTTGAGGTGGACTTGTTGGAGGAGTTCAGCTTCATCAACATCATGTTCCTGCCGCCTAACACCACACCACTGCTGCAGCCAATGGATCAGCAGGTCATCGCCAATTTC